GGTTCTGTCTTTCATAGACTATGGGAGTGTGAAGCATGCATGGAGGAAAGGAAGGAGCTGGTGGATGAGGAGGTCATCTCTTGGGCCAGGGACGCGTGTGACCAGAACTCTGGGGACCTCGTGAACTTCTTGACGGGTGCCTCTGCGCATTCTGGCGACTATGTGCCGCAACCAGTCAGCCAGCAGGACTCGGACGCTGTCAAGATGGAGTTCTTCCAGGAAGGTTTCCAGGATTCAGGCTTGGAGTTCCAAGGGCCCGAGAATATTCGCTTTGAAGGCAGTTTGTTCCTGGGCGGCAGTTGTTTTCAGTCTAAGATTCGTGAATTGTCCAGAGCTGGCTGGGCTTTTGTGCTGTTGTCTGATCAGGGCCATCTCTTGGCCAGAGTGCTAGGGCCTGCCTGTCTTTTCTCACTTGCCGCAGTCCTCTCAGGCTGGTGAGTTCACGGCACTGGCTGCTGCTGGTGTCAATTTAGTTGGGCCAGCGACTCTTTTTTCGGATTGTGCGTCGGTTATTTCTGTGTGTTCCAGGGCGCCTCGGGACCGCCTGGGGGGGGGGCATAGGGCCTACGCGGGCTCGGTCCTGGAAGCCTTCGCGGGCGCTGGCCCCCGCCTCCTCCAGGGCCTGGTCAAAGTCGCCGCGCACAGAGCTGTCGATGAAGCAGGGATTTCTGCTCAGGAGGCTTGGCGGAGGACAGGTAACTTTCATGCCGACCTCGCGGCTAAGCGGGGCGCAAGTGTCCATCCCCAAGCCAACCCTGACGTTCTGTCTCGCGTCGAGCGTGAGATCAGGATTGCGAGGGCTGTCATCCTCTTGGCAGCCAAGCTTTTGCCGCGCTGGCCGCGGCTGGACTTATCTGGCGTTCAATTCATCAAGCCCCAGGCCCCGCCAGCTCAGACGTCGAAGACGCCCCACGAGTGGTGTTGGACTGGGGAGTTTTGGCAGCGCAGCACGTGTCTGAGAGGCAAGCGAGGTCAGGCGCGCCCAGCGCCTGGCCACTGTGTTGTGCCTCCCCGCCTGTGCCCGAGCCTCCTTGAGCAGTTCAACCATCTGTGTGCGTTGTTGGACTGCACGGACGGCTCTTTCCTCTGTATCTGCCGTCGGTGCGGCTCTTACAGCACAGGCGGCCGCGTCAAGAAGCTGGGTGAACCCTGTTCCTGTAAGAAGACAGGGGCAGGACTTACGGCCTGGAACTATGTAATCCAAGGCCGACACCCGCAGCAGATCAAGAGGGAAAAGAACGTACAGTTTTTGCCCTCTCCCTGGACTGTGCTGTGATCAGAGGTGGTCCCCACTCGTTGGGGTCATTGTCAAGCAGAGGTCGAGCGTTAAAAAACTCCTGCCTCATATTTGTTCCTCTTTCTCCTTCTCCTCCTCCTCCACCACCTCCTCCTCCGCCACCTCCCCTTCTTCTTCCTCCTCCTCCTCCTCCCCACTTCTCCCCATCCTTCTCCCTCCTCCCTGTCCGTCCCCTCGCCCTCCTCCTCCTCCTCCTCCTCCCTCCTCCTCCTCCTCCTCCTCCTCCTCCTCCTCCTCCTCCTCCTCCTCCTCCCATTCCTCCTCCCATTCCTCCTCCTCCTCCTGTGGCACCTGCGCTCCTCCTCCTGTTTTTCATCCCCGTCCTTCTCCCCCGCCCTCCCCTTCTCCACATGCTGGAACGGATGCGGCCAGGAACGGTTGCTCAGCGTGTCGCGCCGCCGGTTCTGGTCCGCGCGTCGGCGCGACGCGCCAAACACGCCTCCGTATTTTAACGTCAGCGTCCCGAGCTCATCCCTGCGAGCCCCCACCGAAGCCCGAAAACTAAGCCCCGTCGAAGCCCCATCGAAGCTTCAATTTTAAGGAGTGCTAGCACGAGTTCCCCATCGAAGGCCGAAAATACGGGAAGATAGGAAATGCCGTCAGGAACTTTGGCTTCGTGTGCCGCGTCGTCTGTTCTGGCAAACCACGCTTCGGCGAGACACGCTGACCACGTCCGGGCCTCCAAGCGTCGACGTCACGAGCTCTGCTCAGCCTCCCAACCCGCGGAGCGGGGCGACGCGGTATCCGCTAGCAATGTATGGCGTGCCGCTAAGGCCGCCGCCGCGACAGTAAGCAGAAACTCCCGGCCGCAAGCGGGGGCACGCCCATGTCAATTCATACGGCCTTCAAGTGTCCCAGGGACGCACCCGATCTACGCGATGTATACGGCGAACCAACGGCTGCAGTGCCCGTCCCGGCTGGTCTAACCGTAAGCCGATGTAATTTCCTGTTTTGCGGATCTGAGGACGACGACGACAAAATGTCGACAACAAAGATATGGAACATCATGCAACAATAATTCCCCGGCGCGAGCTTGTCGAGTCCCCACGGGTTGTTTTTTGTTATGCTCTCAGTCGAGGGCGTCGAAGAGGGAAGTGGGGGCACATTGGGGGGTACATCATGGCGGGTGCCATGCAATTTCCTTGATGGTATTGCCTTTTTTTTGTTCCTGTTCTTTTTCTGTTTCTTTCACTTCTTATTTCAAGCGTTCCCTACTCGCGACTGGAGGGCGTAAGCAGGGCGCGCTCGGAGTGGACAGCGACGCCTGGGCATCGGCGGTCTAATTCGACGCTCGTCGCAAAAGGGGGCGGGGGACTGTGCGGTGGCGGTGGCGGTGTGTGCCCCCCAGGCAGCAGGGTGAAACGAATCCTGGTACTTTATGTTTGTTTGTTTTGTCACACCACCCTGTTTCTTGATTTGGTTTGGTGCTTGGTTGGTTTTGCTGGCATGTGCGCTTAACCCTGTTATCAGTATCCGCTAGTTTGTATTTAAATGGTACACGGTGCAGATGCATAGACATATCTGTGCTGATGAACTGACTGTAGCACGCAGGCGCCATGTGTGTAATGTGTACATATGTTCATGCATGTATGTGTAATGCATACATGAGCACGTGCGATGCGTCATGTGAGTTCGAAGTGTGGTTCGTGTTTCCTTTTCGTGGCCTTATGTGAGCTGTCTTGGGGCTGCCTTTGACCGTTTTAAAAGCGTGCTGGGCCGGTATGGCGCTCATTTGGGCAGCTTTGTCCATCGTGAGGCCCTTCTCGATTGTTTTGGGCCGCTCTGGGTGTGATCCTGGGGGCTTCTTGTGCCGCTTCAGGCCATCCGGGGTCGTTTTGGGCCCGCCTGTTGAGGCGGTCTTGAGGGTTTTCGAGCCGTCCTAGGGCGTGGAAGCGTGGAAGTGCGAGAACGGTGAAATCCTCGAAACCACATCCTTCTTTTGTCCATGTATAGATGTGTGTATGTACAAATACAAACACATACGAACACATATACACACAGCAGCCCACATGCATACATACATACATACATACATACATACATGCATACATACATGCATGCATGCATACAGACAGACAGACAGACAGACAGACAGACAGACATACAGACAGACAGACATGCATGCATGCATGCATGCATGCATAGATACATAAACACATACATACGCATTAATCCGATTGTTTATTACATCGGCCCACTTGTATCATTGTTGGTAATTGGTTGTGCAGGGAAGCACCATGCCTGAAAAGGTAAGGCCATGGTCCAGACTTGCGAACGCGAAGCGGCGAACGGTCAGTCGATGGCTCTTCCTCATCTAGTCAGGTTGCGGTCGCGTAGGAGTGCTAGTACAAGTTCCCCATCGAAAAACGAACAGACGGGAAGACAAGAATTGCCGTCAGGAACTTTAGCTTCGCGTGCTTCGTCGTCTGCTCTGGCCAACCGCGCCTCGGCGAGACACGCTGACAACGTCCAGGCCTCCAAGCGTCGACGTCACGAGCCTTTCCCCGTCCCCCGCCCCGCGGAGCGGGGCGACGCGGTAATTATCCGCTTGCAGGGCATAGCGTGTCGCTGAGGCCGCCCGCGACACGCTAAGCTAACGTTCTGGACCGTATATGTGTGCAACATCGGGGCGTCCACGTACTTGTCATCTTCTGGGTGTTTTCTGCGAGCGATTTATGAGAGCCTCTGGTAGGTCTCATGGACATCGCGCATCGCGGCGTCTCTGGGCGGTTTCTGGGCGCCTCCCGGAGGTCGATGAAATGGAGTATTCTGGCCTCTTTGGGGCCTCTTCCGCCACCCTGCCTGGGTCGTGAAAACAAGCCTCTTGCCTGCCTCTTTGGGGCCTCTTGGGGGCCTGATGAGGCCTTCCCATGGGTCTCTTGGGGGCCTCTTGGGGGCCTCTTGGGGGCCTCTGGGCCTCTTGGGGGGCTGCTGGCTGTCTTGGGGCGAGGGCTCGAAGTTGCAGTTCGAGTTCCCCCCCTCTCGAGCTCCTCTTGTGGGTCTCTTGAGAGCCTCCTGGGCCCCTCATGGGGGCCTCGGAGGCCTTCAGTGCCTTCCGTGCCGTCTTGTTCTGGAGGCCAAATTGCAGGGTATGCGGAGGTCGCGCAGAAGCCGAAGGTTGTCCATGTATTCTGGCATATTGGGCCGGCCCACACAGCCTTCAAGACGATCCAACAGGACCCCAAGAAAGCCCGAGAGTTCCTGACCCTTTTTTGAGCGTTGCTTTGAAGGCTACTGGGTGAGGTTGGAGTCAGTTTGGGCGGGTTTGGCTTCCTGGATGCCCACGCAGGAAACGCTCAAAAGTGCCTAAGAGCGCCCAGAGATTCCGGCACATTGGTAACTTGGGTCCTCAAGAATCCCACGCTTCTTCTAACTCTCACATCTGTCTTAGCTTGTGGACACTCCACCACGTGCTGATGGTACGGTGGTAGACGTTTGACAGACGAGTGCGTTCGGCGCTAAGGAGAGCCACATTTTGAAAATCGCTCGCCCTACATCCGTGTAATTGTTGGACAATGAACTCTGTAGGATCAGCATGGGTTGAGAAACCTAAGGCGGAACGCTCGGCCCACGCTGCCGACACGATTGGTGACGAAGAAGGATGGGGGAGGAGGATCATATTCGAAATTGTCCTTGGTGCCCGAAGAGACCAGTATAGAGCTGCTGTAGGTAACTGGTGTGATGGGACGGGCACTTGCTGGAGGCATTGGCGTACCTACGCTGGTGAGCAACTACCTGGCGCCAGGGGTGCACATCGAGCTCCAGAGCGAGCGCCTTCCTCGGCGGGAGGAGGAGGGAGGAGGAGGAGGAGGAGGAGGAGGAGGAGGAGGTGGAGGTGGAGGTGGAGGACGAGGACGAGGACGAGGACGAGGATGAGGCGGCGGCGGAGGAGAAGGAGGAGGAGGAGGAGGAGGAGGAGGAGGAGGCGCAA